TAATTATTTTCATTAACTTGTCCATCATTGCATTTACGTATAAACAAGTTGTAGATAATATACTATTAACTGCATTGCGTGTATAATAAAATTATAGTCGTAATGTCATATTATAACAAGTTCTTATTTGATATCACTGCAACATGCTATATTATACAAAATTCAAAATCAATAAACTAGTATAATATATACCTATAAGATTAAATTAATTTTAGAAATATCCTAATCTGTGTTTACTTTTTAAAAGATAACACTTTTACTTAAGGCCACGATTTAAGATACTAACTTAAATTGTGCTTAAGGCTCATAATTACATAAAAATAAAAATAAATATTTTTTCAAACATGAATATTATTAATAATATTGGTTTACCACTTACGAGTTACTGAGTTACCTAATACGTTTTGATAAAAAATATTTAAAAATAAATTGTACTCTGGTTTCACAACTTTAGTATAGAAAATAATACGTTCTGTAAAAATATAAAAATGTAATGGAAATAACACCTTATAAGAAAACATTAAACAGTATATTGAATATTTGAATCCTATACTATGTTGTAAACCACTAAACCACGTCATAGATAAATATTTTAGCCTTTTCAAAAATTATTTATAAAATGGACAAACCAACCTCACTATGTCCTCGTTTCAATAGAAATAATAATTAGTAAGAGTGAGCTTATAAAAATAAAAACAGTAGAGGACCTAATACTTCCTCCCAATACGACATCGTCTATTATCGTTTATTCTGTTGTTGACTGTGTTTGTCTGTTTTATAGTTAAACAGACCTATATATCTCCGTTTCAGACCGTGGGCAACTAAGTTACTCTTTTTTGCATCATGCCTTTACCGTTTATGATGCAACCATACATGCATGTCTATTGTGTGGCCTGCCTTTTCGGGAGTTTGTCAGACACGTCAGGATAAAATCAAATTCGCATGTACACCGACCGTGCACGTAGTACGTACTCACTAAAATGTTAGGTTCATCATTCAATCACTGGTCCATCAGCTTCACCTAGACTCTATAGACTCTTGAGAGTTGAGAGTATATTTTTCTGTCCCTCATCACTATTTGGGGCCGTAGAAAAGCTTTGATTTTCAACTTTGATGATGGTTTCTGCCAGTGGTGGCTCATGGTATGGAGAGCATGAACCACAAAAAAAAAATATTAGATTCCTATGGTAACACGTAATTCTAATGAATTATGCACATGGTCTGTAATAAAAAAAAAAGTTTTTGCAGTTTTTCATGTTGAGAAGTGTGTATAAACGATTAAATAATTCGCGGAGCACAAATTGTTTGTGTTCCGTATATTATATAATAGGTACCTACTCGAAATGAAAACAAAATGTTTATATTCAAATTTTCAACTCATCAAAAAATTCTCTGTATTTTCTACTCTTTATGAGCTATTTATGAATTTATCTGTTTTTTTTTTCTATAAATGTCGTTGAAAAAGTCTTGATTCTTCAAAAAGCTATTAAAATATAATACATTAAAGTTACTATAAAAGCTGTTATTGCTATTTTAAAATATTGAAGATATAAAGGCATGAATTGTTATTGTTTATATAAGCATTTGATGTTCAAATTTTCACATAATTGGTCAAAATTATGAACATTTGCAAACTATTTTATTGCGGATTTGGCCCGCGGATGTAGTTAATCCCCACTGGTTTTACCTTGAACAGCATGAACAATTTACACAGTTATACTGTAAGTCAATATATTGACTTATAATTAGTTAAATAGGTACAATATTATGTGATATAATATTACAACTAGGACTGCAATGCGGTTCGCTGATTGCAAGAAATTGAGCTGAGCGAGTTAATAAATAATATTATTATTATTACCTACTAATAATTATAATAATAATACTAATTTCTATGGAAACAAAATTATGGTATCAAAATTAGTTTAAATTTAGTTTTTCGGTGATTATTCCTCGATGGTAGGTCGGACATCGATCAAAACCACTTGTTGGCACTCAGCGATGTCCACACTATCACCGTGCCAAGTTTCGTTCAGATCGGTTAATCCGTTGCAAAGAAGTATGCCGTTTAGTAAACGGCTATCCCGCGTATAAGAGCTTCGTCTCGCTCAGCTCAATAATTATTTTAGA